TAATGGTGGTATTGCCTCAGAAAAAGCTTATCCATATACAGCCAACGATAGTGCTTGCAATTCTAAAGCGGTTAGTGTCTAGACTTGTGTGAACTAATTGGGTAGTTTAAATATATCTATTTTTTTTTTAATTATGGTTTTACTCTCATCCTTCTTTTACTTTGATGCAGGCTGCAAACACAATCGCTACTATCGATGACTATGATTTTTGGGTTTACGATCCTATATCTGAAAATTCTCTCCGTTGTTATGTTTACAAGCAACCTATTAGTGTTTCCATATATGCAAGCCCGCATTTCATGTCCTACAAAAGTGTAAGTCATATTTTCATTACCTTATCATCATATCTCTACCATCCGACAAGACACATTTGAAAAGTAATTAATAATTGTTTGCTTAACTGTGACAGGGAATCTTTAATGGCGACGATTGCTCGGGCATTGCTTCATGCGACCAAAATCATGCTGTATTAATCGTAGGATATGGTTCATCAGGTGATGGTCAAGATTATTGGATTGTTAAAAACTCATGGGGAACCGCCTGGGGACAAAGTGGTTACATATTCATCAAAAGAAACACTGGTGCTACTGAGGGAGTATGTAACATAAACTGTCATGGCGGATACCCAATCAAAAGGAAGAAAGAAGCACCTGCCTTGAAGCTTGCTACTTCCATATGAAGCACGCCCTCCAGGAATAATATATGAAGCCAGGCAATATAAAGCTGTGCGAAGGAGACCAGTTAGGTGTTGTACCATGCTTGTATTGGGTATAAATAAATGGCAAATGATTTGCCATTGAATATAAATAAGCCAGGCGATATATAGTTGTGTGAAGTACACTACTTATGTGTTGTACTATGTATGTATTGTGAATAAATAAATGGCAAACGATTTGCTGTGGAATAAAGCTTATGTGTGTTTAATTAAGAATGAAGCCTCTCTCTCTCTCTCTATGTATATATATTTACTTCACCTTCTGATATTCATATTCATCAAGAAATCTATTATGAAAACTTGAGTGTTGTTTTTATATATGTGGATTAATAGTTTCTAAGTATTAAAATTGTAACCCAAATAAATCTTAACTAGCCGAATGCAAGTGAGTTTGAGATCAAATTGAACTAAAGACATAAAAATGATAAAATAAACTTGAACGACATGTTTTATGTATTATGATGCAAAAAGTTTAGGATGCTGATTTTTTTCCTAGTGTTTCAAATGAAATTAGTTTTCTCTTTTTCCTTGCTCTTAATAGTAGTCTAAGACTCTTTCCTACAAGCATCTTGTGAATCACTAATGTTTAGTAATCATTTCCTTCGAAATAATTCATGAGTTCTTAATTTATAAACTTCAATTTCTTGAATTGATGTGGTCTTTTTTTTTCCCCCCATAAGCGACCCTGTAGAGATATTTTTTTATGCACCTTTTTTTTTTTTTCACTTTTTCCATTCCTGTGTCAAAAAGTTTGTCATTAAAAAAAAATTTAACAAAAATATCCCTTATACATTTGTTGGGCTTATGGATTGGCATCACACTTTGTTAAGATTAAAAATCCTTTATTTGATTTTTCACAAATTACACCACGCTAGAGATAAACATTTGATGAAAATCCACTGTCATTTGAGCAGGCAAAATATATTCGCGATCTTTTCACGTTGCCGTGTGCTGTAAGATTCATATGGTATGTAGCATGATATACTCCTACAAGACACCCTTTTCCCACAATAGTTAGATTGATATATTATATTATTTTTTATTTCTCTTCCTCCAAATCACAACTGTTTTTTTATTAATATAGATCCAAACGAACTTACACATTAGTTGGCTGAGGAGGGCATGCATAATTTTTTTAAGACCATATACTTTTTTTTTTTGAGCCCAGGATATTCATTGCCAATAGCCATGATTAATCCCCTTCTATTACAGACTTTCGAAGGGGCTTTAGTGCTGGCCACGAGAACCACTCCATATATACCATCAGGGATGGAACTCCTGACTAAATGTTTAAGAAATCCAACTAACTTTCCTATCCATATACATAATGTTTTACTTCAAGATTCTTCTCACCTGAAAACTCCTAAGCCAACGGGGCTGTCTACCGCACAGGATTAACTTCAAACATATGAGAATTAATTCGCATTTATGAAGCGAATCCAAGCGCCCTTAAATTAACTCAAAATTCGGGAACAAGCACATTAATCTCAAACATAATCCTATGCGGGGGGACAGTGATCCATTGGTTTAGGGCGTTTAAAGTCAACAACATTAAAATAAAAAATTATGCAGCGTTAAAATATGTAATTGTCACTCTAGTATTTAGTACTACTAATATCCAAGTTTTTTCCCCCAATAAATTAGGAGTGAAAATATACTATGCCCTATTAGGAGTTTATTACCTAGCCTACTTTAGGCCTAACCTAGCATATTTAGTAAATAGGTCAGCTCATATTTAAGCCTACTGAAGGCCTCTTTGGTTGGCCCAAAACGACATGCGTGATACTCCTCCAGTCCTCAATATAAGATCCATTTAACTAATTTGATTATATTAAGAAAGTTAGGTAAGTTAGTTAATTATAAGAAATATGACACTTTTTTCCTAAAATACTATAATCATCTTTTTTAATACCCCCTCTTCCTGTTCTACTTGATTATGGTTGAAGGAGTATCCATAGGAGTAATTTAGAAAAAGTTGATAAATATGAGAAATGGGTCTTATATTTAGGACCAAATACAATTCAATAATTGAGTCCTATATTAAGGACCGAAGGAGTATATACTATTGTCTTTTTCCCCGTAGGACCATCTGTATAATATTTTAGGATACTGGATGCACCCAGGAAAATATTTCAGAATACTAGATGCATTTTAACCTTTTTTTTCCCAGCAATAGTACAAGAGCACATGCATAATATTTTAGATCAAGATTCTTGTCAATTGAAAACTCAAAAACAAACGGAGCTGTCCACCGCATTGGATTAACCTTCAAATATAACATGTGGGAATTAATTCGCATTTATTAAGAGAATCCAAATGCTTAAATTCACTTAAATTAGGGAACAATCACATTAAAACTCAGACATAATGAATCCTATGCGCGGGGGACAGTGATCCGTTCGTTCAGGCTTTTAATTAAGTCAACACTTATACTTTAATTATTCACGTGTAAAATATGTAATATAATCGTTAGTGATATGCAAGATTTTTCCCCTTTTTAAATCTGGCCAACAACTGTGAAGCTAGGTTGCATCCTCTGTATTGATAAAAATAAATGTTAAAGATGAATTTGGAGGGAAATGAATAAAATTGAAAAAAACAATAATGAAACTTTAGGATCCATATATTCTAGGCTTTCACTCATCATCAGAAAATAACGTTATATTCTAAATGAGAAAAAAGAAAGAAAATAACGTTATATTGATTATAATCATAACCTTATTATATATTTAGAAAACAATAAAATTCCAGCAATGTGCTATTTGAAATATTGTTCATTTCTGTCAAAATAGTAAATTTTCGTAATTTAATAATAAAATGACAAATTTTATTTGCTTGTTACGTTCATTGTTATTTCTTCTGATTATTTGAATAAATCGTTATATGTACATTTGCAAGTCATTAATCTGATATGATTTTATATTTTATTTCTGTTTTAACTTTTTTAATTTTGATGACTTAAGGCTAATGCATACATTTAGACCCTTAAGTTTACATTTCAGTTTCTTAATAATAATAATTTCAAAACATTTTTAGTTGTAACTTTTTAATTTGTTATGATAAGATTTTTAATTATGACATTGGATTAGTATAAAAGTTAATAATAACATTAAGTCTTAAAATAATTATAATTTTTGAAATGTTTTAATATAAATTTTTAGATTTATTTGATAATTTTTTCAATGATAAAAGCAAGTTTATTTAATAATTAATAAACTACATACAAGTTGCTGATGAAACAAAGCGTTTGTTTTAAATATTTTTTAATTTACATATTTTAAATTAAAAAATTAACATGTGACCAGTATCGAGTTATCATTATTAATAGTTAATAAGCATTTTTCATTAATAAAGTTAACGGTGTTAAATTTAAGAGATTAAAAATATACTTTTTAAATTTAAAAGACTAAAATAAAATTTGATATAAACTAAAACAGCGTGATATCCATTAAAATTAGACAGTTAGATTTATAATAATGGGTACATATGCTGTAATATCTCTATGTATACGTGTGTCTAGCGACCTTTTTATTCAACATTTGGTTTAAATGCTTCCAAGTAACCCATTATACTCCCCCCACTACTCTTTTATATTATCATTTGACTAATCCGGTTTGGAATTTGTGACTTTCTCTTTCTATAAAGGTGTTTTCTCTCGGACTCGAACTCAAGATCCAAAAGGATCTAGCGAGATATTACACTGCTAGACCAACTTTTTGTTGGTCCCTCGCTACTTTTTAATATAAGAGTTAGTTGGGGTTGGATTTGATCATAAGACTTCAATATACTTCGTCTCTCAGAGTTATAATGTTTCGTCAAAATATTCTTATTGATTTTAAGGGGTTTTCACCAAAAGACAGTTCTAATGTGCATCATTAAAGAGGATTAGTTTAGAGAAGTCAACATATATTTGTTGCAAATAACCAACTTAACTAATTTTTTTAATATATCTAAATTAGCTCTCTAACTCTTCTATTATGAAGTTGAGATACTATTAATTTATTGCATGAGATGGAATCTTATATATATTTGATGCATCCATTTGCTCGCGTGCACTGTTTCCTTTATGAATTATTGTTAGTTAGTGGTATAGCGTGCACGTGGCTTCCAGTTGTATATCACTTGCGGTAAGTTAGCCGGCCATGGCTACTTAACTCATTATCGACTGTGGTATAGGGATCGTGTCTCACTTTCTCTCTCTCTCTCTCTCTATATATATATATGGAACAATGCTATGGAAGAATCGCCATCCAGACGCTTCATATCTATTACCTTCTGGTGCACAATGAGTTGCGTTGCTACTAAATTGTTCCTCCTTTTCTTGGTTCAACTTGTCTCACTTTTCTTGGTTTGCTATGGTTCAACTTGTCTCACTTCTAGTGTCCCTGATGGGTATTCCATTTTGAATTTAGATCTAGACAAGTTCTCTTCTCCCAAAGAAGTCTTCCATCTATTCCAAATGAGGAAGAAGGAGACTGAACGAGAATACCAAACCCTAGAAGAGGAGGCAGCGAGGTTTCGGCTTTTCGAAAACAATTTGAAGTATATCAGAGAGAACAATGCAGAAAGAAAGTCACCCAACGATCATCGTTTGGGTTTGAACAAAGTTTCAGATATTAGCTATGAAGAGTTCAGCAAAATTTACTTACATGAGACAGAGGAACCCACAATGGAAAGCAACAACAGCAAAATGGTATTGAACGATGCATCCTGTCCAATGCACCTTCTTCTTGGGATTGGAGGACCCAAGGAGCTGTAACTTATGTTAAAGACCAAGGCAGATGTGGTAAGTTTAAATTTGCTTTGCTTTTTTATTATAAATTAGCAGTAGCATAAGACATATGCTAAATAACAGATTAAACTCATGTTCACAGGAAGTTGCTGGGCATTCTCGGCAACTGGAGCTATGGAAGGAATAAATCAAATTGTCTCACAATGGCTTCCAACTCTTTCAGAACAACAGCTCGTATCTTGTAATAAGAATAGCAAAGGTTGCAGTGGAGGATGGCATGGTAATGCATTCCAATACGGCATCAACAACGGTGGTATTACCTCAGAAGTGGATTGTCCATATACAGCTGATGATAGTGCTTGCAATTTCACACTGGTTTGTGTTTGTCTGGCACCTTGACTTGTGTTTACTGATCGGGTAGATTAAATATGAGTTTTTTTTTTCAATTCTAATTATACTCCTTTTTTTTTAATTTTGATTCAGGAACAAAAGAAAATTGCTACTATTGATAGCTATAAATATTGGATACGAATGCCTATATCCGAAAGTTCTCTCCATGATGAGAGCCTTTGTCGTTTGCCTTGGGGTTCCCAATCAAAAATAAATCCAAGTAATGCAATATAGTACAAAACTCGGGTCGTTTCACTTTGAGGAGCCTTTATTTGAAATCCTAAGCAACTAAGTATCAAAAATAAAAATTGACTTGGAAAGGGATTGATTTTCTTTTTAATTAACTAATTGGCAAAATTTAAAAGGATGCAAAATGAGTAAATAATTTTTGGATTTTTAGTTTATAAAATGGATATGAATGAAACAAATAAAGAGAATTAACAAGTGACAGCAAATAGAAGAGCAATCCTCTAGCACAATGATTAAGGCTATCATTACTTCAATTAATTTGAGAGTTAGCTAAATTCAAAAGACTCTAAGGGCCACCCCCTAGACTCGGTTTAAAAGAGACGATGATGATGGCGAATGGGTTTCCTGTCTCGCGTCTCTGCTCACGCTGCTGTGCCTCTCGTGTCCTCTCTCAATTTTTCTTCCGCCGCCCCTGCTCCCTTGCGTGTGTGTGTTCTGTCCGCTTCCGTCTTCCGCCTCCTGGAGAAGATGAAGAATAGATGATTATTAGGTTGGGGCAAAACATTGCGTTTTGCCCCCCCTAATTATTATTTTTATTTTAATTTTTAATTTTTCTTTTCTTTTTATATTTTTGAATCTTCCAAGAACCTGCAAGCAAAATTCAAGGATAAGGTAGCATTAATTGTCCTCAAAAATCAATTAGTCACAATTAAATCAAAATATGACAATTTTGCCCCTATAAAATAATAATTCAAAATAAAATAAAATAAATCAATTAAGACAAAAAGGGACCAATTAAGCTGACAAAACTCATATAAAAGATACCAAAATATATAAAAATAATTGAGTTTGTCAACTCCCCCACACTTAGCCTTTTGCACTCCTGGGCAAAACTTCATTAAAGAAGAATCCAATAGAGACACTCAATGCAAGCAAACATAAAACTAACTAAGCATGAATGTGCAATTAACTCAAGCAACCTTTATTCTTAATTAATCAACAGTCATAGAATACTTTAGTGCAAAGAAATTAACACAAGAAACATAGCAGGATAAAAGAAGAGAAACATAATAGAGCTCACATAGGGTACAAGTGTTTCACTCATCTCTCAAATGGGAAAAATTTCACTCAATTCACCTAGATTAGCACCTACCATAAGCTTGTAGAGATTCTAATATCTCCACTACTAACATACCTTAGAGTCATGATCAAGGGGACTTGAAGGGTTGTAATGTCGAAAAACAAGGCCAAATGCATGAATGGACTAACAAGTGAAATGCATGAGTAATAAAGTATCAACTCAAAGTGAGTTAAAGTACAATCATGAAACAACACCAATGTGCAGATTTTAACCTTTTGAAACAGAAATCCTTGCTCTTCAAACCACCATTGAATGCCTTATTTCAAATTTATTCTTTTGTTGCAACTTATTTTCTCTCTTTTTTTTTTTAACTTTCTTTCTTTGGCTTTTTCTAAACATTTTCTTCTCTTTCTTGCCTTTTTCTATTTCTATTTTTTTTCTTTTGCTTCTTTTTTTTTTGGCATCCAAACCCAAGAAGGCAAAGATATAGATATTAATGATGTACTTTTCAAAATGAAAACCAGATGTAACTCATACAAAACATTTGCTAAAAAGTGATGAATGGAATGAAAGTGAAGGCTCAAAGGGGGTGAACAAAGGTTAATTGAAGTGGTTTGTGTTTGGGTAAAGGGTTTAGAAATGAATGCCCCTATCATCTTCACAAATCTAGGTATTAACGCAGTTTGAAAAAGAATCTAGACAAGTTCTAGAGGTTAACCAAAACTAGGTGAAAATCACACAAGATGAGAAAAAAATATGGCTCAACAATCCTTCCATCAAGGCTTTCTCCAAGATGTTTCCTCCTTAAGAATCAAGCTATGAAACAAGGTTAATAACACTGCACCAAGAGTATTCTACTATGCTAATCAACTAAGAACAGAAATCACTCAAATCAAATGCAATCAAACTCAGCCGTACAACATTCACAAGTATTGTGCAAAAGGATTTTAAAAGAGATGCCCAAGGATTACAAAAGTCAAGTCAGCAACAAAGAGAACATCAAATAGCCCATACAGCAGTGCAGAACACTGAGGCGAATGAAAGCAAGAGGACATAGAAACTAGCAGCAAAATTCCCAAGCAAGAATCACTCTCAAATCATGCGATGCAATTCAAAAATCAACCAATAAGGCAAAGAAGAGAGCAATTATAGCAGCAATACTTGGAAAACAGGAGCAAATCCAAAGGCAAAATTTTTTTTCTTGTTTTTTTTTTAAAACAAATCCTAACAAAACATAACACTTACTCCACCACACTTAATCCTTGCATTGTCCTCAATGCAAGTTTAGACTAAAGATATGAACAATTGGAAGCTCAAAATGTGCAAGGACAAGGTAGGAAAAATACTGCATGCAACTAATAACAAACAATAAAACAAAACACAAGCTACCTTTTACTACTGGCTATGCCCCTCCCCCACACTTATCTCACAAAACAAGCAAGTAATTCAAAAGATAAGAGTTAAGGAAAGAAAGGGACAACCTTTAGAACGAAATCTCTTCAAGCACTTGTAAGAGAAGTTCTCATCCCGGATGAGAAACATATATCTCTTTAGTGTGGTCACTTCTCCATTGACATTTCTTGGTGGTGAGGGTTCCTGCAAGGGAAACATTGAACAAGCAGCAGTATCTAGTCCAAAAAGAAAAACTTGGAAAGATCTAGAGTAGCATAGATATATTTGAGTGGCAAAATCTTCCAAGTAAATATCACACCCAAGAAAGTCAATAGGACTCCTTTCTATAGGAATCAAATAATCAGGAATATTTTCAAAAATGTCTTGTGTATGCAAAGCGGAAGATGAAGAATCCAACTGACAGTGGTTGGAGTACATCGCATCACTTTTACTAACACAAGAAGTGGGTGAAAAAAGAGTGGAAGAAGAAGAAGATTCATGCACAATATGATTATGCAATGCAATATTATTATTTACATAGCTACTTAAATCAAGAGGCAAGTCACAAGAAAGAATTAGACGAAAAGATTCATTCTTATTTACAATTTTGTCTTTTAAAATTTTTGAATCTTTCCCTACTAACTCATTAGAAGCATGCAACTCAATGGAATTTTCAGAAAGATAATTTCCAAGGCTATGATCAAATTCACATTTCTCCACAGGATTAACATCCAAGCAACTCACATCAATATCATGCTTTATATGGTCAGTACTTTTAGTACTAGAAGGCGATGCACACAGTTTACTAAAATTCTGCTTTTGCAACCCAACAAGTATATCATACTTGTTATCAATGCAATCCATGCATATAGTGTGGGCATTACAAGAACAAGATAGAGGTTCATTCAAATCAGAATCAATTGCACCATCTAATCTAGCACTAGAAAGAGAAGCATGTTCTTCACACAAAGAAGCAGTGACAGTGCAAGCAATATCATCAACTAAACAACTACTATTAGAAGTGTTCAAGTGAGAATTTTTTATTGTTAAGCATTTGAGGGGATTCAACTATGATTTCCTCATCCACCTCATCATCACTCACATTATCAATAACTTCAACAGGAATAGTAGTTCTAGTACAAGGGTCAATCTCCTCAAAAAGAGGAGCAATATTACCTGATGTAGGGCACGAGTCCTTGTGAGTTTGTAGATGTTCTTGCTTCATCTCAGCCTCTTGCATGAGTGAATCTAGACACTTTGATTCATCTTTCCCAATCTCAGACTCAATTCGCGCTATATCACTCAAGAACTTTCCCAATGCACTTTGACATTCTTCTAGCTCTTCCTCTAATTCCTTAGAGATCCCAGATATCTCTTCCTCTTCAAGTAATCTATGGTAGTATGAATTCAAGCGATCATAAGCTTCTCTTAAAAATCGTATCTGGTCATTCTTAGGAATAGTGAGAAATGGGTCAGGTTCACTGAATTCATGTTCATGAGATTGGGGAAGAGAATGGTACGTGGATTGGGACGGGGGTTGGTGGTAATATTCACATGGAAAAGGAGATGGTTCTTGGTGGTATGTATACGGTGGAGATATATGATTAAAGTATGGTTGGTGAGGTGGGAGTGATGGGTTAGGTGATTGGTGTAGATTCATCCAAGAGGTGTCATGAGCATAGATGTGATTAGGCGTTTGAGACTCTAGCTGAGCTTGGAAGGAGTCCAACTGTTGTAACAACTCTTCAATCTCTTGAGAACATGTTGAATGAGAAGGTGTTTCATTCCATGTACTATTTCCTACAAAAAATTGAGAATGCGAGAGTAAATCATGATTGCTATTAAACCAAGCCATGAAAAACAAAAGACCAAAAACAAATGCAAAGTACTAAAAAAAAAAAACTAACATAAATAAAAACTAAAAAGGCTCAACAAATGAACCACAATCAAGGCTACTTGACACTTAATTACTAGG